AATGGAAACATATTTCGAATAATTTTGGACTTATTCATCCTGAATTTACTTCATACTTTTCAACTATTACGTTACGAAATTGAAACAAACATAATAATTATTTAACATTTCGGAATAAAGGTCTTCGATTTAATTTAGACTAGGTGAGATACCGTATTAATTTTACAGCATATTCATTTAAATTTTCATGTCACTTGCAAATTCTACAGCTAACAATTGCGGCTAACAATTCATTCTTACAGTTCATCATCTCTTAATAGCAATGAAATTTTAATACATGTATATTATTGCCTTATAATTTATTAATGCACTTTGAATGGAATATAGCAAGAAAGATAAGTTGAAAATCTATCGCATGTCACTGCGATTCATTTTTTCCCGAAAATACACTAATCACTCCTTAAAGCTAAGAAGGATTCAGAATTCAACACCAAATATAAGTTTATACTCAAGAATAATAAATGTGTGCAAGAAAGAATTGATTGCATTCTGCGAGAATTTTGCAAAAATGTAGCAGAAGTTTGAAGTATGTGTAAGCTTACTTCAAACTGTGTATATATGTATGTGTGCATTTATGTAGTATGTGTATGTAAAGGTATCGTATGGTATAGATATCGTATGATTGTATGATGTATGTATGTATGATGTAGATATCGTATGATGTATAAATTCGATGAAATTGCTTGGAAATTGAAAAATAGAATTATGACAGTGTTATAATTCAAAAAAGCAATAATAATTTCCAATGATTCATTCGGCTTTCGAAATTTCCACGTTCTTCTTTTTTGAATTAAAATATCAAAAGAATTTTCGAAGAAATCCTCCTCCCATTCCAAAAATGTTTGATAACTAAATTTTGATTCAAAAATAATCTTTCAAAAATTTGAAGAATATTTGGTATAAATTAAACTGATCAGAAAAGAGATTAGTATAATAAACTTGTTATGTAAAAATAAAACAGTTTAATAAAGATGGATAGATTGTAGAAGTAGCGATTTACTTGTAATGGAATGGCTGAATTTGTCATGTATCATCAAGTACCTCAATAGAAAACTTTGATTCATTCTTGATAGACTACCATCGAAAGATGATTTGTTTATAAATTTAAGATTGTATAGTATTGTATAGTACTGTATAGTAAAATATTTCCGAGAATAATAAAAGAGAAGTTGTATGGTGGAAAATTACGCGAAGTACGGATGGAAAACGTATAGTTTATGCATAGTTGTTGTCAGAAATACTTGCAACGTGTTTCCTGATATCCTTCATATATATCATTTAAACAGGTCCACGTAAAAATTTTATTAGCATTAAAAAACAAATGAATAAGATAGTGAAGTGAACATTAGAAATATTTTTGTCAGGATTTTAATTTAGCAATATTGCAATTCCTGAAATAAATTAATATCAAATTTCGAGCATACTGTATAGTAAAATATTTTCGAGAATAATAGAAGAGTTGTATGGTTGTAAATTACGAAAAGCACGGATGGAAAACGTGTAGTTTATGCATAGCTGTTGTCAGAAATACTTGTAACATGTCTCCTGATATCTTTCATATATATCATTTAAATCGGTTCACGTAAAAATTTTATTACCATTAAAAATTGATAAATTGTTTTTGATGCAAAATGATCATTGATTAATTTTGATGGTAATGTAATTTGATGAGGATGAAATTATAATGTCTTATGTATGAGCGTTTGAATTGTTTACATAGCAATACTAAATCCTTATCAACAATCACATCATTTACTTGGTAACTGATAAGACAATCTAACATACCAGAAAAGGAAGAAGAGAAAAACGTTTGCTATAATATTTGCTTGTAGAAAGACGATTAATTTTTGATTTAAATGAACAATACTGAAAATGAATTACTTTTTATTTAAAGATAAAAATGATAAAAAAATATAATTAGTACATGTTTGTTTATTAGAAATTTGAATATCTTTCTTCAACTATTTTATCAAAATCAATCGATTGTTGCTAAGATTTTCTAACATTAAATAATTCTGATAAATTGATTATGAGAATAATGAAATTTTAAAAAGATATGAAAATTTTGCTAATAAAATATAAAATTTTAGCCTGAGACAAATAGTTTCATATCTTCATTAGTTCGTGAGATATTTAGTTTCATTAAAACACTTATATGATCAAAGATATAAATTATCGATTGATTACCAATTTCATAGTAATCATAATTTGATTGATTAATGATTAATATCATTAATGTAAATTTGGTTAATGATTGAATTATTTTGAGTGTTGTGATAATTTTATCACTAGAAACAAATATGTACATTTGTAATACCTAAATGTACCTAAAAAGTAATCCTAAAAAAAAAAAATACTGTATCGATAAAATTTCTCGACAACATTATTTGGAAGTTTAAGAAGAAATTATTTTCAAAAAAATGAGAAAAAATTCGGTCGTTTTTTTTGTTGTTGAATATTTCTCGTATAGAAATGCAAACATTGGAGTGCAAAAATAACGAATGCATGCATAGAAAGCTAACATTATTATTATTATTGTAATCATTATTGCTTGCACCTTCTTCACTAACATATGAATGCGTTGGAAAACTTTACTCATAAATTTATATATATATATATATATATGAATGATTCTTGGCTCTTTTCTATTTTTTGTTATGGCACAATTTATACATCAAAAAAAAGAATGAAAAAGATATAATCAATTTCTAAATGTTTTTTTTCTTGGCTATTTTAATTTAATTTTAAAATCAAAACTAAGATAGATTAATAGTGATGAACCATATAATTTCGTTAATTTTGGTAACTTATTGATCGATATTTGAGTAACAAAATTGCGAATTATTAATTAATGAAATAATTAAATTGGTAATTAGTTGATTAATAAAATAATTTTAATGCAACATCAATTTATGAATTAATTTCAAATAGTGAAATGAACATTGAACTGTATTTCAACGTGGACATAGCGAAAGTATTATTAGTATTATTATATTACACCTTCTTCATTAACATATAAGTGAACATAATGGAATTATGAAGTTTTATTTCAAACTATAAAGTGGACATAATGAAATTATGAAATTTCTTGAGGGAAGCTACTAATAAGAATAGCATATTTTAATATGCAACAATTTAGCATAGCTGGAAATAACCTATGATAGGAGCAAATTAGCAAAGAACTTTTTCCTTTTTTATTTAAAATAAAGATTGAAGAAATTTTTAAAAGAACGAAGCAAAAAAGCAACAAGGTGAGAAGTGATGCTTCGAATGATGGTGATAAAATGATTCGAGAATGGAGGAGACGAGCGACTTTATCAGTGGTGATATTTAATGGTTGATGGGAAGAGGCGATAGATATCTTTTTGTGGTTGATGATAATTCATTTCAGTATCACTGATAGGTTATCATTATCAAAAATAACAATATAGATACAAAACACGCATACAATAATACTAAACGATTACTATGATAACATATAATTATTGGGATGTAAAATGATTTTTGTTCAAAAAATTTCATATAAAATAAATTAATACTTCATTATCCACTTAGCTGAGTTTTGTTTTTAATAGATGATGATTTTTTTGTTTTGGAATTTTTTTAATTTGATATAAAATTTTTTTTATGAATACAAAAATTTCAAATATTTCCATTTCAAAAAAATATTTCAAGTAAATTATTTTATAGTACATAATTTAAAAATGAGAAAATTGCATCCATTTAATAATGAACAATTTTATGAGATGAGTAAAACAATTTTGAAGTAAGAAATGAAAATGAATTCAATTATGTGTTGACCAATGGCTACTTGTAATGAGTGGACATGATATTTTTTTTTTCATCGATAATTTCGGTATTAATCATGATAATTAGCAAGCTTATTATCTTTTACTTTTCTTTGATTCAAAAAAAAAAGACTAATGTAAAAGATTTCATCAATGATACCTTGAATGGTTCAAATGAAATGAATGAAAGAAGCATCCAATTTTGATTACGGTAGCAAAGTCATCAAATCAAACTTCCTTCGCCTTCTCATTCTACCTACACCCCTTCTTCTTCGTCTTCATCTTCATTCGTCTTTTTCATTTGCTAGTAGTTATCGTTGTCATCAACAAATTTCATCGTTCAATTCATCGGAAGCTTTCAACTAGAAATTACTATTTACTTTCTTTCATTACTTAATTAATTATCATTTAATTAATTTTTTTTTTAGCACTTTATTTTTTTTTTAATTTAATTTAAGATTATTTATTTCTTAATATTTTTGTTATTTATGTATTTGTTGAAAAGAAAATTTTGGAAATGAAATTCTTTTTTTAATGAAACTGATATAACTGTCAGGTATCATCTAATCTTAATACCTAATGAAATAAATTTGCGCTAGTAATTAAGTTATAAATTATCTATTTGCGGGTTTATTTAGTTCCACTGGTAAGTTGATAAGATAAGACAATAATGGCTTATTCTATACGCGAGAATTCAGTGCTTATGAAGAAATGATAAATAATTTAATCATTTCAAAAATTAAATAATCAAATTAGATGAAATCAATTTCTAATCATTTAGAGTACATTATCATTTTGATAGATTATCACTAATGTCATTGTTAATAGAAAATTGTTAAGTTATGGAAAGATATGACTGATTATTATTTGATGTGTTTGATTTCGTCAAAGGTAAATAAGCTTCTCAGAAGACTTGAAATAATACTTTAAAAATATTTTCAAATTAAATTTCTTCTTGGAAAGACTTTTAATTTTAACAAACAACATACAGACACACACACACACACACACACATTTATATACACCTGGTTGTTTTACCTGAATGTTATCTAACAAAACAAAAATACATATCCATCAATCCAATCCATCCAAACATTTTAGGTTACCGCAGGAAGAAATTACTATAGCATGTTTTTTTAATTACACTTTTTCTTTCACTTGAGAAATTTATAGGCTTCTCAAAAATTTACAACAAATAGAAAAGCGTGCAAAATGGAAGCAAGCCAAAATTGGAATGGACATGGAATATCGTCAACAATGATGAAAGATATTGCTACTGTTGCTGCTGTTGATGCAAATCATTTGAGCTCATTTATACAATTACCACCAAGCGATGATAACAATGAATGCAATAAGGATAATGATAATAATAATAATAACAATAAGAATAAGAACAATGGAAATAAAAATTCATTAATTATCTCAGCAACAAATATTAAAAGAGAAATTGATACAAATTTAGGTAAGACTATTAATCATTCTTCGTCATTACGATACATTCATATGATTACGAATATTTTATAAAAGTTTTTTTCTTTTTTAGTTTAACAATTTTATATGCAAATAAAATATATATATTTGAGAAAGTTATAATTTTTGATTATATTTACAATTTACAATTTCTTCACAAACGTTAACAGTTTTTTCAACGATTGCAGCAAATTTTCTGCAATCGAATATATCATAAAAAAAGAATTCCAAATTTTCAAAAATTTCAAATAAAATAATTTTGGAGGAATTTTTCTTTTTGCCTTTAGAAACAAATATTATGCGTCGTCAATCAGTTGTGGTCGAACCAAATTCAATAATACCACATGATGATAATAATATATTGGAAACAAAATTTGATGCAACAAATTTTTCTTCCTTATTACCAAATCTTGTTCAAACTACAGGTATGACTTTTTCTTATATGTTATGTATGTACGTGTGTGTGTGTGTGTGTGTGTGTGTGTGTGTGTGTGTACTTTTAAATATTCCTAAAAGTGTAGCTTTAATACGGGTCACTTTAATATGAACTTATTTCATTTAAATCGTCAGAAATTATTGATGATCCTATTAGTAAAGTAATTAATTAGATATTAATTAGTTTGTTCCACATGATGGTAATAATATATTAGAAACAAAATTTGATGCTTCAAATTTTTCTTCCTTATTACCAAATCTTGTTCAAACTACAGGTATGATATTTTTATATGTTATGTATATGTGTGTGTAAAAGTGTGGCTTTAATACGGGTCACTTTAATATGAATTTATTTCATTTAAATCACCAGAGATTATTTGTGATTCTTATTAGCAAACAAATTAATTAGATATTAATTAGCTGTTAATTCTTTTCAAACAACTTTTCTAATTAATATCTAGTTAATTAGTTTGCTAATAATTACTCAAATCAATCTTAACTATGATGGTAATATCAAAAAAGAAAGAATTGCCAAATTATTAGAACACATTATTTGATCAGCAATTTATTAATTATATTTATGATTTCGTAGTTTTTCAGCAATCTTCATTTCTTGTAATTCTATTGCTAAAATATTTTAGCTAATTAATAAAGGGTAATTATAACAAGGATAATTATAAATCATTTGTTTGGTATAATTTAATTTTTAGTTAAAAACGAAATACGTTATTTTTTACTAGAAGAACTTGGAGCTATCATCTTATCATTTTAAGCTATAAATCAATTTTCAGAATTATCAACAGCCGTTTCATGTCATCATTATTCGGAATGGATGGGCCAATCCGGTGTCAGCTTATATCCAAGTTGTTCAACAACTGCAACAGCTTTTGCAACACCACAATATTACTATGCTGGTGTACCATCACAAGCTTATCTTATGCAGCAACCATTGAGTACCGAATTAATGCCATCAAATGCTATACAAACATATAATACTGCCACTACAACAACACAATTATCCAAGTTCGATAATTGCTACTTTTAATTACTTTACTTACTTTATGCTATTTAATTACTTACTTTGAAATTACTTAACTTTGACCTATTATTTTCAAGGAAAATAAAATTTTCTCTATTCTCAAAGAAAAAAACAATCAAATTAATTATAATTTCTTTATGTGAAAAAAAAAGTTATCGTTCAATGATTTAAAAATGATATTACGATTTAAAATGATTTAAAAATGATACTACTTTAGGAGTAATCCATGATACTGTACTATTTATAGTTAAGAATAAGCCATGATTTACTCTTTGCCATTATTTTAAAGTTTAAAATTATGATAAATTAACTTTTATATTAAAAGATTAGTTTGATTTGAAATTTTCAAAATCTTTCAAATTCTTTAAAAATGTTACTACTTTAGGAGTAATCTATGATACGGTATATATTTTATAATTAATTTTTAGCAATTATGATCCATTTCGAATGAGTGCTAATTATGATTCACTTACATCTTATCAATTACCACAACGTAGTGGTATAGATGGAAATCTATGCGTTTTTCCTTCTCAAGCGGTATATAATCAAAATCTTTCAAAATATCTTCAAATCTTTTTAATTCCATTTAAAGCTTATCAGTAAACTTTAAATTATACCGGAAGCTATCAGTAAATTTTAAAATAATTTTTGAAGAAAATTTGAACGATCAAATTTTTTCATTTTAACGAACAATTTTATTCAGGTTGATAAAAAGAAATGAATTCTAATAATTTTAGTTAAATGGAACTATCGCACATACCGCAATACAACCAACAACAGCAGCATCAGCACAATGTCAACAATGTGGCATTTACACTTCGGATATTGCATGCAGTGGTACATCAATAATTTGCGCCAAATGCGCATCTGATCTCATGATACATTATAGCACCAGTCGATCAGATATGTCACAAGTATGTTTTAAAATACTGTATTAGCATGAATGATTTGAAATAATAGGTTAGTCTGTAAAGTCATGAAAGATTTCTTCAAATAACAATGTAATCCGAAATGGAGCAATCAAAAGAATTTTTAGATAAATTTAAAATCGATTCAGGATACGGTAAAGATTATGACTAAAGTAAATTTTTGAATAAGATATTTTTGAATTAGGAATTACAATTAACAATTAATATCTAATACTTAAATATAAATAATTCATTATAATTAATTTATTGGAATCAATTAAATCAATTAATTTATTAGTGATGACAAAGATTGCTTTCATGGAAGCGCAGAAGTTTTCATAAAAAATTTTCAACTAAGAAATTCAAATATTTCCCCTCGTTAAAATTCATTGAAATTCTTCTTATAGCACATTGTTTCATATTCGCCATTTCTGAGTACATCTTGCGGTATTGTTGAAAATAACGATGAAGCATTGATCAGTGGACAATTGCAATCTACTCGGAGTAATTCCACCGTTAGCCGAAATCGACAACAGCAACGAAAAAATCAAGTAATAATATATTAGTTTAGAAAGCTTAGCTAGTTTGCTAATATACACCATGTCAAAGGTTAGAATGTGGAAAAGACAAATATCATCATTAATTTCCCTTTGTTGGTGATAAAATGATAACTTTTTTGATAAACAAAATATTTATTTTTCTATTTTAATTAATTTAAAAAATCTTTTTATCATAAGAGTAATTATTGTAATTATAAAAACAATTGAAACATATTCTTACTTTTCTTTTTTAATTATTCTAAAACAAGTTTTGTAAATAATTTTTACGTTCGTTATTGTTTTCCAGCTAATATATAATTATTTCATTAAATTATCGATGAAAATTTTAGCCTCAACATAATTCACAACGAAGGCAAGGTTTAGTTTGTGCTAATTGTCGAGGTACCAATACAACATTATGGAGACGAGATGCTGATGGACATCCGGTATGCAAGTATGTTTTTAATCAAATTTCTTTCTCAATCTTAAAAATTGAATTCATAAATGCAGCAGCAATGATCGATGACTTATTATTGAATTTTATTCTGCCACGATTGAAATTTTGAACGATACGGAGACTTTCTCATTTTCTGATTATTTTGTTTTATTTAAAATATTCTTCATTATTTAGTGCTTGTGGATTATATTATAAACTTCATCAAGTGCAACGACCAATATCAATGAAAAAAGAAGGAACACTACAAACTCGAAAGCGAAAGCAAAAATCCGACAACAGTGGTATTTTACGACAATCTGCGACAACGAAAAAATTGGTCAACAATCATAATAGAGGAGGCAATCGCACATACGGAAATTCCCATTCCGGTAAGTTTCAGTTATGAATTTTAAAATGTTCAGAAAAATTGTGAAATGTAACTAATGTGGAAAAATCAAAAAAATAGCCTAGATTTAAATCTTAACTTCACGATTAGTAAAACTTCAGCAAGTAGTTCGTTTGGTTCAACCATTCAAGCAGTTAGCGATCAGGTTCATCCCTATAATGTTATCTCATCGGTGGGTTCAGTAAATGATGATCAATTGTATGCATGGAATGCTGGAACTCAATATGATACATCTCAGGAAATTCCTCTTCCAGGTATTTTTTTCCTATCATTTATTAATAAATTTACGATATAATATTTATGAGATTATTTCTCTGATCTTTATTTTCCGGTTTTTTTTGCCTTCTACCGGAAATAATTATTCGAATTATATTAAATTAAATTATTCTATTAGGTTTGAATATGAATAATGTTTTATCACAATCAATATTTTCAACTAATCATTATGATACAACATCAGAAACGGAAATAATTACAACTGTTGGCATACCAACTGAGGTTATTTAATTTCATTAATTCAGTATTTCAATAAAAATTTTGAATCATATTTTTTTAATTTAAAAATATTATTTTTGTATAATTATATTGCTAAATCAATTTGATGAAAATATACGAAATTAAATAATGAAATTTTATTAATGATAAAAATTAAGATAATTCGAAGTATACGAAATTAAATAATGAAATTTGACAAATGATAAAAATTAAGGTAATTCGAAATATACGAAATTAAATAGTGAAATTTGATAAATGATAAAAATTATGGTAATTCGAAGTATACGAAATCAAATAATGAAATTTGATAAATGATAAAAATTAAGGTAATTCGACGAAGCGAGGAAGAAGAAACAACAGCGGCGGTACATTCATTACAAGCGCTCAAAGAGGAATGTTTGGAAGCAAACATTTTGAATGATAAAAAATTTAATAAATCGATGATAGTTTAAAATTGCTGTGAAATCTATTATGAATAATTCGTAGTGATAACATAACATAATATTTGCTTAGGTGGTTGATAGAAAATTTGCATAAATTTGATAAGACATTTTATTTGAAAAGAATACTTTTAAATTTTATCAGGTAAATGGAAAGTATATGTTTTTGTTCTTTTTAATTTTACTATTGGTGATAATTTTAATTTTGTGCTTTTATTTTTGTTTCAATTTTAATTTTTAAATTTTTATACTAAAATTATAATCTGTGTTTTTTTTTTAATATTTGTGATAAATATTAAACATTCATATCTTTTCTAAAAAATGTAGAAAATTTTAAGAAAAAAGAAAACAAAAAACAAAGGTGAAATTTCATGAATTTATCATTTGTTGAATTTAATTTAATTCCAATTTTAATTACTTGAATTCGTTATTTCTATTCAAATAATTTGATACCGAATTTATTGCTTATTCAGTTTCGCTTAATAAACTAAAGAAAAAGAAAACAAAAACAACGCAAAGTCAAATTTAATGAATATATCATTCGTTGAATTTAATTTAATTCCAATTTTAATTATTTGATTTCATTACTTCTGTTCAATAATTTGATACTCAATTTATTGCTTACTCAGTTTCATTTATTAAACTATAAAAATTGATGAGATGCAAAATGCAAGTAAATGCAAAATTGCAAGTATTATTTAAATATTTTTTTGGTGAATTTCCCTCAAATTACTAATTTATCACTGCAAAAAAATGATAAAGCCTAAAAATGAAAAAATTTATCACAAAAAATGAAATGATAAGATTATTTTGATAATTACTTATCTAATTGGAGCGTACAATGAAATATTCCTATATGAATCAGTTCATTTAAATTTAATCAATTAATGTTTAGTTAGTAATTTTATTGAAGTATTAAATTCATCATTCCATTAAATAATCCATCATAATTTGCTAATCAATCGGTTATCATTTTTTTAGGAGTTATTTTTCCCGAGATTTCTTTACTGTTATAATTTCCCATCATGCTATTATAAATATTCAATTACCTTTCTTCAGTGATATTGAAATTACAAAATTTTATACCTATTCATTTGAATATTTTTATTTTCAATTTTGAAATGTGAAATATCTCATCCATTCTTATATCGATAAATGTATATGTATCATAGAGCTGCTATCATATTATCATATTTGCTATTATATTAGAAAATTGCTATCATATTATCAAATAGGAAAAAAGCGGTGGTAACAAAAAATACCAGATAGTAATAATTTGAGAAATTATTTGGTAAGACTTTGAAGGCATTAAGAAAATGAAGAAATATAAAGTAGCTGTGATTAGTAAATTTTATTCTATAACTGATTTCAATTTAATCATATCAAATAAAACACAGACAATTGAATTGTATCACTTTGTTGCAATGATTGAATCGAATAATTAATAATTATATCACATACGAATAATATATTCAACATTCTGCAAATTAATTTGACAATTATTGATTTCCTTCACAAAATATTCTAATACAATCTGAACGGAAACTTGCTTATCGTATTTTAGAAATTATTATAAATTATTATAATTATTATAAAAAAATTATAAATTAATGAAAAGCTTTAATGCTGGTACTAACATTAATACATTTATAAAATTACGGAAACCTCCTCATCGCATTTCAGGAATTATATAAATTATGAATTAATGTTAATTAATTAATGTCAATTAATTAATGAATTAACGAATTAATAAAACTTAATATTAGTACTAACATTAATAAAATTACGGAAACTTCATCGCATTTCAGGAATTATAAAAATTATGAATTAGTAAAAAGCTTTAATGCTGGCACTAACATTAATAAATTTTATAAAATTTTCAAATTTTTAATTAATTAATAATTGGAAAAATTTTTTATAGAAAATAGCAGAAAATTTGGATTAATTATTTTTCCCTTTTGTTTTGATTAATTTAAATTTTAAATATATCTCTTTTTTTTTTTTGTATTATCGGTTAATGAACTGTGCAGCAATTTAACAGAAAAATAATCCGATACGTTATTTAAGCTACTGCTGACCAGTGAGGTACAATTTCATTAACCACTGACCAAATCAAATAGCACTTCATTTTGCTGTCAATATATATATGTATGTGTGTGTATATGTGGTATTAATAAAACAATGGTGAATTTATTAATTATAAAGCTATTTTAAGTTACGAAAAAAAATGGACAATTGATTGATTATGTTTCTTATCACATAGAAAATGATAAAGTGATAAACATACAAACAAATTTTATTATTATCATTTAATACACATATAAATAATATATACGATTAAGTATCCGTTTATTAGTGTTACGGTATAAAAGTATAAGTTTATACTTAAATATATATTGCAAAATATTTCAGAAAATGTTTTTTAATTCAGAAAAGAATTATAATCAATGATTTTAAGGGCGGATGATAATTTATGTTGAATTAGTGAAAAACGCCTTTTTTCAAAGTACCACCAGATGATCGACCAACACCATACTCTGCAATTTAATGTATTTTATTGTGGAATATAAGGCAAAATCATGATATTATGTTTAAGAAAAGCAAAGTATGCGATAATTCATCTAAAGATATAAAATTTAATCGATTCCTGATAAGACAATAGATTTTCATAATTTAATTAAAATTAAAAAATCTAATTATATATAAGGGCAGAAGTTTCAATAAGTTTAAACTTTGTCATTTGTTCTAAATTTACTAAGCAGAAAATATTGCTTAAATGATTGATAGCCTAAAATACCCAAAAAAAAAAAATAAGTAAACAAAATTTGGCACATCAAAAAAGGAAAAATTTGAAAGAAGAAAAGTATATGTACTAGCCAAGTTTATAGCTGCCACTTTTACAGCTGTCATTATTGTTGCTAATAGCATTATTTTCAAATAGTGATTTCAAATTGGATACAACTCCTGAAATATGCAAAACAATTAATTTCGATGTTTTTTTTTTGTTTTATTAAATTAATTAATAGGTTTAAATTCATTTTTCAATTAATACTAAAAATTATATAATAAATTTTTTCTTTTGTTGAAAGAAATTCTTGAAAAACTATCAATTATAAAAATAGCTTAAATTGAAATTCATAATGTTCACATAATTAATTGGAAATTTAAATTATACAATAACAACAACAACAACAACAGCAAAAGTACGAAAATGACAGATGGCGACAAACCTTTTGTTGGCATTTCAGTTTCCTCAATTTTTGGTCGTGAAGTTTTTATTGGACTATTCGATATCTGTAAAATGGAAATATCCATTGGCTACTTGGCGACTTATTTTCATCTATTGTTTTCTACTGGCTAATGATATGATGATATGATGTAAAAATATGATTAAAACTTTTTTTCAGGAAGATGATTTCAACAGAGATTAAAAAATTACTTCATTATTTTTATTGAATTCTTCTAGCTTATCGGTAATTTTCCTGATATCATCCGGTTTCTTTACCGAATTTTTCAATAAACGCATTTTTTGTGGCACATTCTGATTCTGAAAACAAGATGATACGATAAATAAAGCGCAAAAATAATGTGATAAGTTTATTTGTCTTCTTAGAAAAATGATAATCAAATGCTCAGATATAGTGATAGATGATGTGCCATTCAAATTTGCAAGTGAAAATTACTACTGTTAGATAATCCATTATTATCAACATCATATTATAATATCCTCATTATCTTTTTGCGCACAGTTGCGTAATAGGCTTGCATCTATAATAACGTTCTGTTATCTGTTGATATGATGTTGTTGATAAATAATAGATCATGGGTTATCTAATTGATTATCAAATTATCATTATAAATTATCAAATATTCCTGATGAATTGCATAGTCTAGTTTCTTCATCATAATATGAATATTTAGCGCTCCTCAACTATTAGTTATTTGACAGCAGCAAATTGGGCGGCTTTTACATGAACGAAATCATAGTGCAACATTCAATACCAAAGAAGCTTACCTTCAAATTGCTTTCATTCATCTCTGTTGTATGTGAATCATCACTGTGATTATTTGATTCAAAATCACTGTTTTCGTTTATCACTAAATTATACTGAGCATTATTTGGCATTTTTCTTATCTGGTGATAAAGTTGATAATAGGTTATCATTTTTTTGTTTTGCTTAAAAATTATTAGCAATACTATTAATTATGATTATCAGTGCAGCTGATAATATCTCCACTGCTAATAAGGCAATTGTTAACAAAGTACTATTAAATTTATCATAGTCATATCAACTTTTATCAATGAATTATACTGGCATTTTGTTATTTTTACATACCAGGTAATTCATGATTTCCTGTCTCAATGTTATCTTGTAACTCCTCTTGGATATTATGAGTTTCTTCTACTTGATGATGATTAGAAAGAAGCAATTCCTGGACAGGTGAATATTCTTTTGGTATGCTCTCTTTTTCGGAAAGACCATTCTGATCGTAACAGTTTTGCTCTAACTCCGGAATGATATCTTCGGCAAATATTTCCGTTGCATTTTCATTGCATCTATTGAGAGAAGTTCTCCTTTCCGGTTTCAACGGATAATCAGTCGCACTGAGCCTCATTGATTCCATTTGCAAATCTATCGAAAAATCCTGAAAGATTTTTTTAAAAGAAAAAATCGTAAATGCTCTCTTGAAATATCCAAAATTCTCAAACTTAATCTCTTAATATGAAAATTCTGAAATTAAAAAAATTCAAGGAAAAAGCAAAATTCCTGAATTTCTTAATTAATAAGCTAATAACCTTTAAACTAATAATAAATAATAACCTCTAAACTAATAACCTTTAAACTAATAATTAATAAACTAATAATAAAAAAGGAATATTTCAAATTCCTCAGAATGATGATTGATTAGTAATAAATAGAAAGCTTACTTGTTGATCAAATGGATCGATAGTAGCAGCTGTAGTATTAGATACCGTTTCTAAATTATCCTCCTGAATTACATCATCTATAGTTTGCAATTCATCTGCAACTAACATCAATTTTTTTAATAAATAGAATTCTTTAAAGAAAAAAAAACAAAATTTCAAAGATCTTTCAAATATCAGTAAGAAGAGGTCAAAGTTGAAACAAATTGTCAAAAATGGAAAACAATAAGGAATAAGATAACATGAATGACCTATTTGTTTAGATTAAATTATCATTAATTATATTCTAAATTAATGATAATAATGATAATTATAATTAATGATAATTAATGTTATCTTATTCCGTACAAGAAAATTTAAACCACAAAATAAAATATTGAAAATTGAAATTTTGATTTCTTATAACGTAAAATTAAAATTTATAGCATTTCCATATTTATATTAGAACCTTTTTCGTAGTGGAGATGCTCCATAGCTGCTGCTTCATCCATACCTCACAAAATATTTACTTCGCAGTAAAATATTTTCTGCAAAATTTCATTTTACTTTCTAGCAATTATCATAAATTGGCGTTAATAACGGTAATAGTGATAATGATGATAATGAGCGGTAATGATGCAATATTTGAATTACTACAGCAATACTTTCTGTTTAAACAATTATCTTACTTATCTTTAATTTATATGATTATCAGTTCTATGATATCGATGTTTTGATAATGATTACAAAATGAATTTAATATAATTGAAAATAATATTATTGATAATTTTTTTTTGATATATTATTGATAACCTTTAATTTTATTGATTTGAATTACTAATAAACTTAATACTATTGATAAAATCATTGAGAAAAACTTTATCTATCTATTCAATATCATCTCTCTCTCTCTTTCTCTCTCTCACCTTGCTAATCATATCATTCAACTTTTTGTTAAATTTCATTTATCTTAATTAAGTTTTATTATTCACAATAGATTATCTATAATATAATAATTTAACTAAATGATATTATGATAAAGAAAGATTGATAAATTGTTTCACAAATTGTTTTATAGAAAAATTTAAAATTATTTCACTACTAGCAAAATAAATGAAGGCGGAAAAATTTACGCTAATTAATTTATGCTAATCAAAAATAGAGCAAATAATAGTAGCTTAAATTTTCTATCAATTTTAAATATATGCATGATTGATGAATGTAAGAATAAAGATGAAATTGCAGAATGTAATTCATAATTTCAGATTAGCCTAGTTTATCTTTGAAATAATTTCGACAGTATCTCTCTTCGAGATTGAAAGACGATCAATTAATCAATCAATCAATCGATAATGATTATGGGGTTTACAGTTTGAAAATGAGAGATAGAGGTAAAAAAAAACATTTGAGATCGAAAAAACGAAAACATTAAAAGAAAGAAGAGTGGAAGAAACTGTCAAAGAGAAAAGCCAAGAGGAATTAGGATCGAAGAGGAAAATTTTATGAGCCTAAGCATAATTTTTAGCAACCTTAATAAGCCTAAACATAATTTAAGCCATAATTGAGATTATTAAATGAATCAAAAATAGATCATTTCGATAAGATCATTTCCCATTCATTCAAAAGCCTTTTTAATTTTAAATTATTCAGTTTGATAAGAAAAGTTAGAAATTATTACTAGGTATCAGAACAGGTGAGAAATGAAAGGTAAATAGATGAAAGAGAATGAAACATGAAGAATGATATTTCGTGTACTAAATACTGTAGAGATGAATGCTCAGTGATTGTCATCATACTAAACAATCCATCTATGATATCCACATGACATCACAGTTAAAAGTGATATGGAATTGATACGATGACTTATTCAATTAAGTATCGCTATCCATAATGAGATTATTAATTAATGATTCATTGCGAGGAAAACTATTCATCTTAGAAAACTAAAAATTTTTATTTTAATAATTCGTAATGGGAAATCATTTTAGTTACAGATCAAATTGAACTTTACCCTATCAAAAAATCTGATAAGAAATTATAATAATTATGAAATGATTTAGAAAATTTAATAAAATTAGTATGAACTGAGAAAAAAGAAATATTCTTCGACATCAAAAACAATTTAATATTTTAATTAAGCTAAATTAAATCGATGAATTAAATTATTCGATCAATAAAATACTGTTATCAGATTATCAGTAATGATAAATTTTATCAGTAATTGTAATTGTAATAATTGATAATTGTAACTGTAATAATTGTAATAATAATTGTTACAATTAAGTATCGCTATCCATAATGAGATTAACTGATGGTAATTTTATCAGTTATTTTATCATTTTATCACAATGATTACCAGATTTATCAGTAATGATAAATTAAAAGTTTAGTGAATACAACAAAAAAGTTTTTTATCATCATTATTAAAAATTTAATCAAAAAATAAAATCATCAATGTTGGAAGAGAATTTTCCCTTCTTTGCGTGAACAAATTCATTGATAAATGTAATGATAAGTGTTAACATAATTTCAGTAATAATTAAAATCGAAATGATAAGAAATGATGAACAAATTCATTGATAAATGTAATGATAAGTGTTAACATAATTTCAATAATAATTAAAATCAAAATGATAAGAAATGATGAACAAATTCATTGATAAATGTAATGATAAGTGTTAACATAATTTCAATAATAATTAAAATCAAAATGATAAGAAATGATGAACAAATTCATTGATAAATATAATGATAAGTGTTAACATAATTTCAATAATAATTAAAATCAAAATGATAAGAAATGAAAAGAAGTTTGTATCAAATATCTATATATAATATCTAAACAAATATACATATTCATGATATTATTAACCATAATAATGATAAGAAGTTATCAGTAATAAATGATTATTATCGGAAAGTGGAAAGGAAGGAAATAACCGTAAAAGATGAATGTAACACACATTTTGTAATATTTTGTCCTATATTCGTTTATAAACAATAAACAACCATTCATTTCATTCAACGTATCGCACAATGATAAATCGTGTAGAATTATTTTTGAAAAAAAAGGAAAATGTCAATTAAAAGAATGTCAACTAAGGTGTCAACTAAGGTGTCAATTAAGCTTTTTTGCTTTTTATTAAATGAAATGTCATATAATAAGACATTTTAAAAAATTGCTATAATAATTTTTGTCAATTAAGAGATGTCAACTAAGGTGTCAACTAAGCTTTTTTGTTTTTTCTTAAATGAAATGCTATATACAATAAGACATTTTAAAAAATTGCTATAATAACTTTTACCAACTAAAAGATGTTAACTAAGGTGTCAACTAAGCTTCTTTGTTTTTCTTAAATGAAATGCTATATACAATAAGACATTTTAAAAAATTGCTATAATAACTTTTACCAACTAAAAGATGTTAACTAAGGTGTCAACTAAGCTTCTTTGTTTTTCTTAAATGAAATACTATACAATAAGATAATTAAAAAAAATTGACTATAATAATTTTTGATTTCAAAAATAACAATTTATAATTGTTAAATGATATATAATTTTTTAAGGATATATAATATTTGTTTAAATGAAAAAACAAGAAGATTTTTTACCTAAAAATTTTGTTACGATGAAAATTAAAGAAATTAAAACTGAAAAGATTTTTTGTAATTTAATAAAATAATTCATCAATGATATCTTATATTTCAATTTATGAAATTATCGAATTTTAATTCCTAATTAAATTTGATAATTTGATAAGTGATTAGTGTTGTGGTAATTGGTGTTGTGATAGTGATAACATAAAACAATATACTCAATTAGTTATGAATTAAAAAAATTATATTAATAAATTAAATTAGTATTCTAAACATATATCATAAATTATTTGTAATTATGGAATAATAAGTATTATTTTAATTATTCGTTCAATTATTTAAAACAATGATAAGTTTATTTGTGATATTTCATAGAATGATTTTGAGAAAGAGGAAGAAAATTTAAAATTTAAAAACAATAGAGGAAAAAAATTTAAAATATAAAAGAAAAAAAATGTTAATAATTACTATTGTTTCAGTTATATGATAATTTTAGAAACTTAACTATTATTGCTAAATTTCGAAAATAATAAATAATAGTTTACTATTTGATGCTATAACATCTGGTGATGAATCATCATTTTGTGACGATAATGGACATCGTCACAAAATGATGGACAAATGGCCAAGAATAGTGGAAGTGGAAGCTGTAATGGGAATAGAAGAGAAGATGGCATTTTACCAGTGATCTTCTACACATATCTCACATTTTCCCATTCACTCTATGTGCGATTTCAAATGGTTGTATTAAATTGGATTTTGTTTCGGAAATTAAAGGAATAGAATGGACATGAGGGTGGACAGACAAACAGACGGAAAAATGGGATGTTAGATAGGAAAGAATATTTCTTCACTGAAATGGGATATCGATATCTTATATATATATATATATATATATATATATGGAAATCATATAACGATCAAAGCTATCGATAACTAACTCACTCTCTCATTTATGGTGGAAACAAAATGAGTTTTATATTACAAGGAAGAAGATATTGATAAGCTTGGGAAAGTAAAATGCTATTTTAAAATTTCAAACATATATTTTGAAAATTCCAAATATCCCACAAATATCTGGCACTATGAGATAATTGTGGGATATTTGATATTAGAGTTATTGAATATTTGAGTTATTTTATGATGAAAAATTTAAAAATTTATGCGGAAAAAGTAAAATACAAAATGTGAAATTTCATTGTCAGATTAATTGGATAAAATAAAATCATTTAAAAAATAAGAATTAAAATTTAATTCTTATCCGATAAATGAATGATAACTATAATTAACTGAAACGGATACATTCATTCATTTAAGTTTAATAATTTTTATGCGGAAAAAGTAAAATACAAAATGTGAAATTTCATTATCAGATTAATTGGATGAAATAAAATCATTTAAAAAAATAGGAATTCAAGTTTAATTTTGATCCGATAAAATAAACAGTAATTGAACTAACCAAACGGATACACTCATTTAATATTGATATGTGCAAAAAAATTAATTTATAGAAAATTAAAAATTTAATTTTAAGAATTTGGAGGGAAGCAAATTTTCGAAATTCAATGAAATGAGTAACTTTTACAAAAATGTTTTTCGTCTAACAAACAAAATGTAAATTTGATTTTGTGTACAATATATGGAGTTGAATAAATGTAATAAATTAAGAGAGCTTTTAAAAAAAGCGGAAGGGAAAAGTGAGGAAAGAAAAATGGCAGCAGTGATAAGAGAAATGTTAGGAAATATCATTGAAATTGATAATTTAAAAAAAATTACAGGAAATAATTAAGCTTTTAAAAATAAAGGAAGGAAAAAGTGAGGAAAGAAAATGATAACCAGTGTTAAGAGAAATGTTAGGAAATATTATTGAAATTGTTAATTTAAAAAGTTAAAGATAATAATTAAGCTTTTAAAAA